ACATCTGGTGAAAATTTCATGTCATTAGCACCTCTAGTAATATATTTACTGAGAAAAATGGTGACGTGTTTAATACTTATTTTACCCGCTGTATGCAGGTCAATTCAATGAAAGGGTGAACAAGTTTACAGGAGAAAATGTTAAAAGTATGATATCTGCACCAAGTTTAAGCTGTAAAACTATAACTTTCCTGCCTTTTTTTTTTGGTTTCAGGCTAATCGAGCTGATATTGTGACCTTAGATGCAGGAGAGGTTTACTCTGCAGTGAAGCAGTTTGACCTCGTTGCCGTTGCTCAGGAGCTTTACAGCGATGGTAGGTTTGCTTCCTGCCTCCTCTTCGTCACAGAGACGAGAAACAGTTTGTTTCTTCTTTGATTGTCTGCAGGCGGCTGCATCCTGGCCGTGGCTGTGGTGACAAACAGCAGCTTGGATGTTCGGTCCCTGCGGGGCCGCAGGAGTTGTCACAGCGGGTTTCGGTGGACAGCTGGATGGAGCCTCCCGCTCGGCTTCCTGCTGTCCAGAAACTACCTGAGCTGGTCTAAGGAGCATCCTCTGAGCCAGGGTGATGATGATGCAGTGGTCTGCATGTTTTTGCTCTGAGGTTGTTTTTTTTAAATTTGCCCTCTTCCTGTTTGTTCTCGAACAGATGTCGGCGCCTTTTTTGCTGCCAGCTGTGTTCCTGGAGCTGCTACCGTGGCGCCCGCTTTGTGCTCTCTGTGCCGAGGACAGAAATCTTTCCTTCGACAAAAGAATCATCACTGTGAGACTTCACACAGCGAGCCTTTCCACAGCAACCAGGGGGCTCTGAGGTCAGGAGGAACAGGAGATCAGAGCACTTTTTTTGAGTCACGGCCCTTCAGTGCAACACTTTTGTTTTGCTCTTCAGGTGTCTCAGGAGTGGAGCGGGTGACGTTGCATTTGTGGACCATTTAGCTATTGAAGCTATTGATGGTAAACTTTAAAGTCTTTTAATTTGGCTCTTCTTTATTTAACAAAATTAAGTGACAAATACACTAGTAAAAGATTGGCCAAATCAGATTTAAAAAAGAAGCAAAAAAAAAAAAAAACTGAGTATGTCCCCTTCTTCTTTATTGGACACATTTCGTCTCTTTCCCATAAGACACTTCTTTAGTATGAGGAGTTTCAGAAGAACCCATCCAGAGGACCTACTCAATTTAAAAGTAACAGGACAAAAAAAGAAACATTTTAATGTCTCAGATTGCACCATCTTAAAGGGGCAATATCATGTAAAATCAAGTTTTTGAGTTTTATATCATGTTATAATGTTATCCTCTCATCAAAAACAAGTCCAGAGTCTTGCTTTGACTCATTCATGCATGTTTGAGAAATCCTGTAGTGTCCTGAGGCAGCCAGGCAGAGGAGCAAAAACGTAATGTTATGCATATAACTACTGTTCCCTGAAGGAAAGGAACGAGGTACAACATCATGTATGGGAACCACGCCCCTGCGTGTCCTGGCTGAAGCCACCTCTAATCACGCCTTTAGGCAGGTGACGTGATGACGACAGATGTCAGGCTCCGCCTGCAC